GTGGTCTTGCTGGGGTAGGGTCGTGCTGGGGTCGGGTCGTGCTGGGGTGTGGTCGTGCTGGGGTATGGTCGTGCTGGGGTGGGGTCGTGCTGGGGTGGGGTCGTGCTGGGGTTTGGTCGTGCTGGGGTGTGGTCGTGCTGGGGTATGGTCGTGCTAGGGTGGGGTCGTGCATTTCGCTCGAGACATCCTGCCAAAATTCCAGGAAATCGTACAAAAACAAACGAATTAGTCGAGACATCATCGATATTCCTTCGCGCGGGGCGCTTTTCCGCGTCGCGGTCGGCTCTGCAAAACAAGCGTTTCGCTCGAGACATCCTCGGCAAACTCTGCGGAGCAAGCGTTTCGCTCGAGACATCCTCAACTCTGCAAAACCAGCGTTTCGCTCGAGACATCCTCAAGAAATTCTGAAAAAACAAGCGTTTCGCTCGAGACATCCTCAAATTTTAATTCGCCGGCCTCCTTCGACCTCGTTATTTATCAGGGAAAAAATTCGCCGGCCTCCCTCAAGTTGGCACCGGGGGACAGGTTTACCTACTAAAAGAGAACCCTGGGCCGGAGCCCTTTCCGGGAAAAAACGTCTTAACAACTACAACACAACAGTTTTTCAGGACAGGGCGCCGCAGGTCGACGCGCCGAGCCGCCCTCAGGACGCCTGCGGGGCGCGGAGGGGAAGGGGGGAGAGGGAGAGGGGGGGGGATCAACTATTCTTCAAACTGCCTCCCCTCGGCGGCCATCACCGCCTCCCTTCTCCTCTCCTCGTTGTCGGCGGCCAGCCCGCCCCCGCTCCCTCCTGCCGCCTTCCCTCCCCGAGCCCGCCTTCCTTCTTCGGCGGCATATCCGCCCCTCCCTCCTGCACCTCTCTATCGAAGGGCGGCGCATCCGCCAGCGGCATATCCGCTCTCGCATGCGCTCGTTTTTTCCTTTTACACGTGATGGCGAGCACATAGCCATCGTCCTGTAGTCGCCGATAAGCCGCCCAGGCTGGCGGGATCAGCTCGGCGGGCATCACGGCGACGTCGCCGCGCGGCCGCCACAGGGACGCGCCTGGGCATGGCGCGCGCACCCATTCCAGGGTCTCCACCAGCAGGTAGCTGGCGGCGCCAGCCTGCGCGCAGCAATGCACGATGTACGCCTCGCCGTCGCCCAGGAGAAAATCCTGAGGGCAGCACCGCCTCGATTTTTGGGGGGGCACACGCATGTGCACCCCTAAATACCAAGGTTGGTTGCGCCGTCTGTCCTGGCTGCCGTGCATCTGGCCGTCGATGGACGCCTCTCTGCTGGTCCACGTTTCAGCCCTGCGGAGGGGTTCCTCCTCCTCCTCCTCCTCCTCCTCCTCCTCCTCCTCCTCCTCCTCCTCCTCCTGGCGGCGAGCCGCCTCGGCGGCAAACCGCCTTCCCCTCTCCCAGCCCATCTTCCTCCACAAAGGGCATGCAAGGTTGCGCCCCGAGTGCCCGAACGTACTGTCCAGCTCTGGCGTGCGCCACGCTTTGGCGCGGGAGCGCGGCGCCTCCTTCGCTTCCTCCAGGAAGCAGGCGAGCATCGCCGTCAAGGCCGACCGCTCGAAATTCTCAGGGTTGTCGATCTCCTGCGACCTGGACCGAAGCAGGTTGTGCTTCCGCTCGAGTACGAAGGCGTCCAACCAGATGCCGTCCTCCGCAGGCTGGTCGGGGACGTGCCACAAATAATGATGCTTCGGCTTGATCAGGGCTGGCCCGTGCGCGGCTTTGTGCAGCGCCAAGGAAATCGAAACGGCCTTGGTCCAGACAGCTATCAAATTCGGCACGGCGCCGATCCTCAGGACGTAGCCGAACCGCCTGCCACCTAAGCGCTCGAGGATGCGCGCGGGCCGACGCGGTGCATCCTCGAACGCGCAGGCCAGCGTTTGCGTTTCAGCTGCGGCCGCATGTCCTTTTGCCCTGCATGTACAATTCGAGCATCTTCGCCATCGCCTCGAACGACCGCGCCGCAGCGTTCGCCATGCCGCTGGGACGCAGCTCTGTGTGCACCCAATGACGAATCAAAGGGAACACGGCCAAGCAATCCGACGCCTTGCCCACGAAGTGCGACGCCTTGCAGGTCGCTTTCTTCCGAGCCACGCTGAACAGAAACGCTGGCGGTTTCCTGCCGCGTCTGCCAGTCCGCCACGCCGAGCAGCGATCCCGCCACGTTCCCCACGCGTCGGGGATGACATCCCTCACCGCCTTGAGGAGCGCAAAGATTTCGACCTGCAAGGTCCCGCCGCTGGCCAGCATGGTATGCATGGGGTCCCTCACGTATGTGCTCGGCGGCGCCACCGTCCGCAACGCCTGGCACGCCACCAGAGAACGGTCATCCAGAGTGATGCCCATTGCCGTCTCCTTCGGGGGCCGGAACATCAGAAGGGAAGGAAGGGGGGGACATCAGAAGGGGATCGATGGAAATGTTTTCCTCCCTGGCTCCAGTCTCTCGATGTTCGCTCTGGTTGTCGTGTCCCGCAGCGACGCCAAATCATCATATTGCTGCAAAAACTCGTCTGACGACAGCGGGTCAAAGCGCGACGAGTCAGCGCACCAGAGAGGCACGAGGTAATCATCGTCGTCGTAGTCTGCAAGACATTCCGCCTGATCCAGCACAACGTTCTTGCATTGCAAGCACGGTCTCAGACCTGCAGCGCCCTTGGTGCAGAATGTCTCTTTTCCAGCCGCCTCGTCTGCAATCAAGCGGTGGAACTTGGCGAAAAAGTGCACGCCGCCGATTGGCGCACCGTGCTCCGACAGACTCTCTGGGCCCAGGAACAGCGCGCGAAGCAATGCCCGCGCCACGGCCGAGCCGCCGATGCTCTTCTTCACGACGACGCGCAAGGTGCCGATCGGCAGCCACGCAACCTCCTTCTGCAAGAAGGATCCGAACTCGAGGAAACTCGCATACACCGCGAGCTGATTCCGACGATTATCTATCTTCAAGGCGTTGCCCACGCCAATGTCGTCGTAGTACAGCAAAAGCCTCCACGGCCGATCGCGCGACACAGGGAAACGGCGCATCGCTTCCCAAAACATTGAACTCCAGAGAGGGCAGTCCGACAGGAGCCTCGGCATCAGCCGATGCGGCAGCGCCACGCTCCATCGGAAAGGCGTGCCGATCTTGGGCTGCAGCCGCACTGCGCTGATGAGATCGGCCACGGATGCCGTCTGCGATCGCTGCATGGCCCGAGCGCTCACGTCTATAGCATCGCCCGCGTCGTCGCCATGGCCAAGCGCAGTCACGATTCGCTCGAGCAAAGCCGCGGACACGCCGCGCAGGGCCAGACACTGTTGCAGTCGAGCCCGCTGCTCCACCTGCTTGTCCACCTGCAGGGCGCGTTTCCCCATTGCGCCGACGCCCGCGCGCGGGAGGGGCGGGGGCGGGGGGCAGCGCGAGGCCCAGCGCGGTTGAGAAAAACGAATTGCAGCCAGAGAGACGGAAGTGGAGGCGGGAATGGATCGCGGGGCGGAGTAGCCGCCGAAGGGCATGGCGGTGTAGCCGCCTGAAGGGTCGGGAGGGGCGGCGTAGCCGCCGAAGAGCGTGGGGGCGAGGGGGCATGGGGGAGGGGGGAGGGGGGAAGGGGGTGGGTGGGGGAGATTGCGGAGGCGCGAAGTGAGCGTAGCAACGGAACTTGCAAGGGAGATTTCTTTTTCTCGCACGCAATTTCGAGCTTGAGTTTCAAGCTCGGGTTCCAAGCCGCCAGCGCTCGGAGACGGGCGCGGCTGGCGGCTCGAGCTCGGGACGGGCGCAGCGCGGGACGGGCGCGGCGGCGGCTGGCGGCTCTTAGTGCGGGTGCGCGTGCTGCCTCCAACTCCTCATCCACCTCCTCCTCTCCTCATCCTGCCTCCTCTTCCTCCTTATCCTCCTCTATCGGCCCAGCCGATCGCCGCTCAGCTCTCCTGGTGCGGCTGGCGGCAGAAGAACCGAATGCCGCCTGGGATGTCCTGCGCCGTCTGCTTCGACATCTGGCACAGCATCTTGCCGCGCTCCTCGGTGCGGCGCGCCTCCCCCATCATGCGCCGCGCCTTGTCGATGAGCATCTGGCCCTTGATGCCAACGGCGCGTGCATGGCGGCAACGATTGCGCCACTCGATGAAGCGCACCACGATGGTCGCCCAGCTCCACGCACTGCCACCCGTGATGAGCTCGAAGTCATCGACGTCGTACTTGTCCGCGATGCTCGCCATGGCGGCGCAAGACCGCGAAGGGGCACGACCTCGAGCGGCTCCACTTGAGCCACAAAGACTACGGATGAGGGGTGGGACGGTGGCAGATCATGTCATTGGGAAACGCGAGAGAACGGTGCGAGCGCGGTGGGCAGCAAAGGCGGCATCTCCGCCAAATGAAGGCAAGGCGGCATGTCCGCCAAGGGCTTGCGAGAGTGGAAAGGCGGCATCCCCGCCAAACGAAGGGCTGCGGTGGTAACGAGTGGGGTGGCGATGGCAACGAAGAAATGTTTTTTTTTCAACAACAATAACAATTGTACGAAATCACACACCTCGTCATGAGCGGCCCAACTGCCGCCCCTGCCAAGGAGCTGCTTCGCCTCTGCTTCGTCTCCGACCGCCAATCGATGGGATTCCCAACGGTGTCGCTGGCCTTCGCGAGCCACAGCTCGCGCGGTAGGGTCTCGGGCAGGACGCGCTCGAACAGGAGGGAGTTAGGCAAGCGCTTCGCCTCGCCAAGTGAGGCATCGGAGCGCGATGAGCAGCAAAGGCGGCATCTCCGCCAAATGAAGGCAAGGCGGCATGTCCGCCAAGGGCTTGCGAGAGTGGAAAGGCGGCATCCCCGCCAAACGAAGGGCTGCGGTGGTAACGAGTGGGGTGGCGGTGGAAATGTTGTTTCACCAACAATAACAATTGTACGAAATCACACACCTCGTCAGGAGCGGCCCAACTGCCGCCCCTGCTCACGAGCGGCCCAGCGGCCGCGGCTTATTCGGGTCCTTCTCCACCTTTTTCAGGCCGTACTTCATGATGTACTGGGCCACCATGGGGCGCTCAGGTGCTGTGCTTCTGCGCCTCCTTGAGCATCCCCGCGATGGCCCTCGCCGCCGAGCTCGCATCCTTCTGGATGCTGATGGCCTCGTCCTGCGTGATCGTCAACGCCACGCCGCTGTGCACGCGCTTCTGCGCCACCGCCTTCATGACTGCCACAGACTTCCTCGCCGCCTTCGCGTTCTTCACAGCCCATGACGGCACCTTGTCCGCCTTCTCATGCTCGAGGTACCCGTCCAGCTCTGTCTCGAGCCTCGTTGCGGTGCCGATCCACTTCAGCGCCAGGTTTTTCTCCTGCGTCTCCTTCTTGGCCTGCTCGGCCTTCTCCCTCGCTTCCTGTCGCCTCCGCTCCTTCTCAGCGTCCTTATCCCTGCGGAGCCTTCGGGGTTGTCCGAAAATGACAACACTTCGAGCCGAGCGAAATCAATAACCCGATCCGAACCTGAAGAGTTGAACGGAAACCGAAAACGAATGCGAAGCCCAGGCGACACCCCTGCGTTGAACCCCCAAACGGCCTGCTCTTGCTCCTGTCCTTGCTCTTGCCGCGGCTCTTGCCCCTGCCCTTGCGGCGGCTCTTGCTCCTGTCGCGGTCGCCGCGCGAGCGGCTCCTGCTGCGGTTGGTGTCGCGACGCCTGTCGCGGCGTCTGCTCCTGCTGTCGCGCCTGCCCCTGCTGTCGCGCCTGCTCATGCTGCGCCTCCTCCTCCTGCGGCTGTCAGACCTGCGCCTGCGGCGCCGCCTGGATCTGGACATGTCGCTCTTGTCGCTTCTGTCGCCCTTGTCGCCGCCGTGCTCTGCGACGCCCGTCGAGGCCGCTGCCCGCGGGCCGCTCTGCTTCGCCTGCGTCCTCTTATCGGTGTACAGCTCGTTGCGCACTGCGGCCTCCACTGTCTCGCTCCAGGCCGCCTCCCATTGCGGCCTGTACGTCCACTCCCCGAGATCAGGGTTCCACCTCTTATCCTGCACATTATCTTCAATCTTTTTCGCGTCGAAGCCGTCGTGCGCCCACTTCCTCAGCGGAAGGTACTTGCCACCCTTGCGGACGCGCTCCTCCTCCATCCGTTGGACAGTGAGTGAGCTGACCACGAAGGCTTCAATGCGATCGAGGTTCGACAGCCCAGGATCTTCTGCCAGATCCTTGTAGAACTGCTGCTTGAACTCACTCTTCATTTTGGCGAAACACTTTGGCGGCCACTGTCCGAACCTCCGAGAAAGGCGCACCCCGTTCGTGTTGCTCGCGTCGCACTGGTAAGTCGACTGGCCCTTCGCCTTGATCCTGTAGTTGCACTCCTTTGCCGTGCGACAGCAGCGGTTGCAACGCACGATGCTATGCCCGATGCCATGCACATCCACGAACTCCCCTACCTGGGGAGCGCCTGCTGGCGGATCGTCCTGAGCTGCCTCCTCCTCCTCCGCCTGCGGCGCTTCCGCCTCGGGCGAGCGCTCCTCATTCTCAACCTTGGCTACCGCGCCCTGCGGTGGAGCCTCTTCCTCCTCAAGCTCACGCTTGGCACTCTCAAGCTCATCCTGTTTTACGCCGAGCTCGGAACCAATCTCGTCGCCGCGCTCCTCGGAGCCCGATGCCGCCTCTGACGCTGCGTCGTCCGGCTCTGGTGCAAAGCCGCTGCGCCCTGAGGAGGCAGTTCTTCGGCGGGAGCTGCGGCTGACGCAGCTTTGCGAGCCGTCCTCAACGCTGCGGGGTGCTTACCTTTGCCCTTGCCTTTGCTTTTCCCGCGTGCCTTCGGCGGCCCTGCGTCGGTCAATGCGAGCGGCGGCACAAGCTGTCCAGTCAGTGTCATCTGCGTCCCCGATAGCTTAGCTTTCCCACGGGGCTTCGCTGCGGGCGCCTTTGTCATCACTCCCTTGTTTTTCGGCCTGGCTGCTCCGAACATCACTGCCAGAGAATGCTGCTGGTGATCTTCAGCGGGCGGCGTCCCCGCCATGGCGGCGTGACCGCCTTGGCACGCGAGAAGCCGCGCGTCGCGCGCGGCCCTGATGCCAAGATGAACTGCGGACGCGAAGCGATGACGAAGAAAACGCGCGGTAAGTGAGGCGGGATAGCCGCCAGCGGAATAGCCGCTTCAAAGGTGGAGGGAGGGGTGGAGTGAGGTATGAAGGGGGCGGCAGATCCGCCAGCGGACTCGCCGCTTGAGAGGGTGCAGGGGCGCGGCGAGGGAGGCGGATTGGCCGCCAGCGGACTAGCCGCTCGAAGCGTGGCGGACGCACGAGGTGATACGGATACTGAAATGAATTGCGCGCAACATGACAACCACACAAATTTGACATCATGTTATCATATGTTATCATATGTTATCAGGCGTGTGATAACACCATGCTAACACATGATAACACCTGATAACATGTTATCAGGTGTTATCAGGTGTTATCAGGTGTTATCAGGCGCGTGATAACATATGCTAACATATGATAACAGCCAACGTTTTATTGCCAGTGCATGGCGGCGGCGTAGCGGCACGTCCGCCGAGTTAGTTAAGCGGAGCAGCAGGGGCGGAGCGGCGCCCTGCGCTACCGACCGCGGACGGCGCCGCGTGCTTCAAACCGCTGCCTGAGCGGCGGCGAAAAGACGGGCGAGCGCGGAAGCGAGGCGCGCTGCCTGAGCGGCAGCGAAGAGACGGGCGAGCGCGCGCAATCGGGGCGCGCTGCCTGAGCGTCATCATATGCAAGGCGATGGGGGGGTGGGCGGACATGGCGATGCAGCACATCCAGAAAATAGCCGCACTCATTCTTATGCGGATTCAGTTTTCTCCACCCAGCCCTTTTGCCAAATCCCATCCAACCGCCCACCTGTCTTATCCGCCGAAGTTCCCTCACCTTCCTCCCGCTCCGCTCGTCCACTCGCCCCCATATCGCCTTGCATTGGGGGACGGCTACTCGGCCGCCTGCATGGCCAAAATTCACCTCGGCGTGGCGGCCTTCACGAATTGAGTGCGGATGGAGTGTGTGGGGGTGTCCTAATTTGTTCTGACACAGGGGTGTGGATTGAAATTGCGTTGGAGGAGTGGGAGGGGGGCGTGTAGGGCCGACGCGTCGCGCCGCCTGCGCGAATGAGGCTACTTATGCTGAGGCGACATCAGTGCTGCCAGCCGTGCACCTGCACCTACGAGGTCGCGTTGCGCACCAGCCAGCTCGCGAGCACGTCCTCGCACTCGGCGATGCATTGCTCCTCTTGGCGGAAAGCGTTCACCGCGCGCTCCGCTATCTGGGCACACATCTGCGTCGCAGTACGCGCGCGGCGCAACGAGTCGAGCACAGCCTGGCACTGGGTGCCGTTGAGCACCACGATGCTATCGGGCGACATCTGGCTGGCCAACGCCGTGGACATCCTCATGCCCGCCGTGGCTGACGAAGCTGCGCCTGACGATCCGCTGCCCCCCGAGAACGCGTCCTTCAGCTGTGCGAGCGCTCCACGCGGGATTGTGGAGGGATTGGCGCCAGCTCGACCTTCGGCGCCCCCTTGCGCCTTTTGGCGGAGCCCCAGTTGGCCTTCTCCTCCTCCCATTGGCGCCACTCCGCGAGGTCGACTTCCCCCGAGTCGGCCTCGAGTGCGATAGCAGCTACCTCCGCTTCGTCCTCGCTCAAGCTGTGGTACGGCGACACGTGAAGGTGGTTCACCAGCTTGTTCCTGGCCTCCTCCACTGTCTCTCCCTGGAACCACTTGCCGCCCCATTTGCAGCTGCTGCTCTGTGGGCACTTGAAGCCGAACATGACGGTCTTCTCGCCCTGCTGGCCTGCCATGGCGGCAGGGCGAGAAGTGCACGGCTAGCGCAGGGGCGGCGTGGGGCGCGAGCCTGTGCGCGCCTAGATTCGAGCCGATACAGCGTCCCAACAACAAAAACATATATGTGTAAGAGGCGCGGTGGCATCGCACATTTCGGGATGCCAGCAGGCGGCGGCGGCGGTTTAGCCGCCAATGGAGGGCTCAGGGCGGCGTGGCCGCCAATGGGCGGTTTAGCCGCCAATGGGCGGCGTGGCCGCCAATGGAGGCTTCAGGGCGGTTTAGCCGCCAATGGGGGGCTCAGGGAAGGACTGGTGTTTTTTTCCAACCGCATAGAACAAACCCGATGCGCCGATGCTCGTATCTGAACGGCGGTTGTCCGCCAGGCGGGGGGAGGCGGCGCGTCCGCCAATGAGATAGATCGGCAACGAAGAGAGGGGAGGAGAGATGAGATGAGACGAGGCGGGGAGAGGCGGCGCGCCATGACGCGTCAGCGCGGATAGCTGCAACTATCCGCGCTCGAATTACGGAAGCTATGCACCCCAGCCCGCTTGCAGGTCCACGCGATCACCCTACAAGAAGACATCTCCGCGGGCGGGCGGGCGCGGCTTCGCTGGCGGTGGTGCCATCTTGCTTGTCGTCTGCAGCCGACGCCCTGCCCTCGGCTGCACCATGCTGGGCTTCCCTGTTGGCGGCTGCCTGGTCTTCGGCGGCGGCGGCCCCATGGTCTTCGGCGGCGGAGGCGGAACTGGAGGGTTCATATTGCCAGTCCTCCACGGCGCCTGCTGAGGCATCGTCTTGGGCAAGTTCGGCGCCTTGGGCTCCCGATGCATCAGCTTAGGCTTGGGGACGTGCGCCTCGCGCACCCGCGGCGCTGCCTTGTTGCCGTGCAGCTTCGCGTACATCTCGCGCTTTGCGCCACCTCGGTTCCCCCAGCGCTTCGCATAGGCGCGCCACGCCTGGCCCTGCCACGTCTGCGGCCCGCCCATGGCGGGGCCAGGCGGGCCGCGGTCGCGGAACTTCTTGTATTCGTACTTCATCTGGTACTCCTTGAGCACGGCGAGCACGGTCTCCGACCGCCAGTCGATGGGATTCCCAACGGGGTCGCTCAGCCAGGCTCGCAGCTGCGCCCTGAACGCCTCCACCGCGCTGGATGCGCCTCCACCGCCTCGGGGGGCTCTTCCACCACAGGCGTCGCGCCCCGCATGTGCGACGCGAGCTCCTTCACGAGAGCCGAGGGCGGGAAAGGCCGCTGCCGCGGGTCCCGCGGCGGTGACGTCGGCACCCGCCTGCGCGGCGGCGTCGACGGTGCCCGCGGGTGGCGCGGGCTGCGCGATCGCGCTGGCTGCGCCGCCAACGTGGGCGCGCTGGCTGGCCGACTGCCGCTGGCGGAGGAAGACCGATCCCCTGCGTTGTTGTCCACGCCCGCAAGGTCGGAGAGCAACTGCATCGCTGGCCCGAGCATCTCCTGCGCCGAATCGCCAAAACAGTTCGACCGAGAGCGGCCAGCCAGTTTCGCGCGCGATGCGCGCGTCCCTGGCTACCGCACGCGGGGCCACTTGTTTTGGCGATGCAGCTGCCTCCAACGCGTCGAACGCGCTGCCGCTGTCTGCCATGGCCGCGGCCGCAGTGCGAGGCGCCGCGCGCGACGCGGTGGCTGCGGCGCAGCCTCGGCGCGCGGGCCCCAGCCCACGCGTCGGCGCGAAAGGGGGGGGCCAACCCCGCGCGGGCACGCGGGCACCCGCGGGCCGCGGGCTTGAACCGAAATGGAATCGGACGCGGAAGCGAGACTTCGGGAGGAGGGGGAGGGGGTTGCCCATGGACCCATTGAAGTCTTGGAGCCCCTCGAGCCCTCGGGGGCCTCTCAGAAGGGCCCCGCTGGTTCTTGCGACGGGGTCTCGGGGGAGGGGGCAGAGTGAGGGTGGCATTGGGAACCAGAAATATAAGTGAACTGGTGTCCCTTTGAATTTGCAGGTCTTGGTTCACTTGTTTTCGTCGTTGAACGGGCGGTGGCAACGTCGGTGCCTTCGCGCGCGCCCATGCCATTCTGGGTGAACGCCTTCGCCGTTCGAGCAGTGGGCGTCTCCCCGACGTTAGTTGGCGTGGGATCCAGTGCCTGACAGCGGCGAGGGGGGCGCAGGGACGTGGCGCGGGGGCGCGGAGTGGGCCGATTAGGGGAGGGGGGCGGCGGCATGTCCGCCTGAAGGGCGGAGGAGCGCAAAGGGGTGGGGCGGGGGCGGCATGTCCGCCACGAGTTGGAAGGCGAGAAGGCTGCGCTACAAGGCGGCATATCCGCCACGAGGCGGCATATCCGCCACGACCTTTTTGTTATCCCGATGCCGCCCCGTTGGCCTGGAGAGTTGAAGAGTCGTAGCGCGAATTACTCGCCGCGCGCCCTGGCGGCGAGCTCCTTCTTGACCAGCTCCTCCGCCTCCGCGATGGCCCTGGCCTCGGAGCGATCGGGCGCAACGAGGCAGCAGGGGGCGGAGGGGGCGTCGAGGCAGGGGCGAAAATGAAGAGAGCGCGGAGGAGGGCGGCGAGAAGGGCGTCGGTGAGAATCTGGCCTTGTCGGCCTCATCGCCCGCGATGTACTTCAGGCTGACGTTGCTGCCAGGGGCGCCGACCCTGCCGCTGCGGAACTGCACCTGGTGGGCGGAGCAACGATGAACAGTCGCCTGAAAGGCGGCGGGCGCGCAAACTGCGACCCCAGCGGGGCTGCTGGGAATCGCCGCGCGCGCCCGACGCCTCCTCGGTGGGAGGTTCAACCCCGCTCGCCAAGTTGCGTGTGGTCTGCATCTCCCACCTCGGCTTCGCCCACTTGCGCTGCTTGTCCTTCCCAGCCGCGCCGTCC